TAGATAGATAGATAGATAGATAGATAGATAGATAGATAGATAGATAGATAGATAGATAGATAGATAGATAGATAGATAGATAGATAGATAGATAGATAGATAGATAGATAGATAGATATTGAAGGAAGTCTGTGGCACTTATGGTTAATTAAGGTGATTTGCACATTGTCTTAAACAGGGGAGTCTCAACCATTAGGCAGAGAGAAGCAACTAACTTAGGCTATGAGGGTGGGGAGATTGAGAGCAGCAGTAGCAATAAATTGGAGGAGAAAGCTTTGTATGCTGTCTGTTGCTCTGAAATGCAGTCGAAGTAACATTCAGTTGCCAGTAAGGCTGGCTTTTCATACATGACATAGCAGGGGCAGGAGGCCCTTGATATTAATCTTAGACCTGCCCTAATTCCAGACAGGGGAACAAGAGGATAGTTTATGTTTGGGAAGGCTTGAGAGAAGTGGGTCAGGAGAAGGTTGGCTCGCTCTGGGAAGGGTGTCACTGAGGGAATCTTACCCTTATCTTGCATCACCAAACATGGAGGAAGCACTTGTCTCTGGCAATAATTAATTGTCACCGGGATTCATGATTCCTGATCACCTTTCTTCTTTTGTTATGTGATTATCATCTCAGGCTCCCTTTTCTCGTTCTGCAGAAGTCTGGACCGCCTCGATTCTGTTGAGATGGTGTTGCCTCCAAAATTCCCAAGCTGGGAGGAAGAGTACAACCAGATCTCAGACAACCTTAACGAGTCCAGTTCCATCAACCAGGTGAGAGCCAGCAGCATCATTCATAAGCATGGCAAAGGACAACATCGAAGTGGAGAGAAAGACCAGAGAGGCGGGAATAGAACTGGGAAAGCTTCGACTACAACTCCCAGAATGCTCTGTCCTAACTGAGAGATTCTAGGAGGCATCATTCCAAAAAGTCAGTCTCTCGAAACTTCTGGGGGAGAAGCTATTCCTGGCCAAACCCAAAAAGGGTTGCTTGGGCAGATTGCCTGCATATATTATAGCTCAAGTTTCCTGCAGGTAGCATTTAAATGAGAAATGTTCATTGGCTAGAATGGGCATGTGATATGAATCCCTGCTCCTTCCAGTTACACAGTAGCAGTACACACTTCAATACAAAAGGCCCCTAAAGAGGCTAACAGGGTCTGGACTGGATGATCCATAGGGTCCCTTTCTGCTCTGTAGTCCTACGAGGAGCATGATTATAAATGCACCCTATACATTAGCTGGGAATATTGTAAAGGATTACTCCATGAGCCAGTGCTACCCTAAGGCAGAATGGGAAAATTATTTCAAGCAGCAGATGTGGTGGGGACAGGAATAGCCCCCAGGGCATTGCTCCTTAGCCCCTCAGATTGTCTAGCATCCTAGATTTGTCTAGATATCTGCCATCCAGATTTACACAATGAATTGCCAGATATTTCCAGGAGCCCCACAGGTAAAGCTTAGAAGCTCCCTTACTACTTACTCCCAGCAACTGGTGTCTTATGGTGTAACTGCACTACACTGTACAGTACATCAGTTTGATACCACTTTAATCTTCATAGCTCCATCCTAAATACCCCACCAAGATACCAATCCTCAAATTCCTTGGGATGTTCCCATGACAATTAAAATGGCCATAAAGTGATACAACTCTGTATCATAAATTCATTTTGCGTGGCATATGAACCCTAGGCCTGGAGGCTCAGCTTAGTTAATAATCATCAGTAGATATATCTGCACATATTTTTCTTATCCCTTTTTAAAACCATCTAAACCAGTCACCACCACCCCAATTAACTAAGTGCTATACATCAAAATAAATTAATTGTGAGTAAACGTGGACAAACAATCAAAATGTTCATTGTTTGTCCGCCTCATCTCTACTGCCACTTAATTTTATTTGGCATCTGCAAGTTAGTTTTAGGGAGAAAAACCTCCCTGTATTTCCTTAGTCCATACACATACATCTTGATCCAGTCTTTCGGTAGTTCTCTTTCTGAACACAGACCCTTCAAAAATTTGACACCTATAACATCAAACAGAGAGACTTCCTCAATCATTTTGGCACCCTCCATATGTGTGGGACTACATTTCCCATTATCCCCAGAAATCCTGCTGTGAATGCTGCAAACTGTGGTCCAGCACAGAAGATGTTATATTTTATTCTGCTAAAATATTGTGGCATGGTGCTCTGTAGAACACACACAGGTGCAATTTCTGAGTAAAACTGAACAAAAACTTTTGAAAAGTCAGTTGAGCAAGGTGGTAGTGATTAACTCGTTCACTTTAGAGCCTTCGTACTGGAATCCTCTTTTTAAAAGGAGGAATCGCTTCATCTTATACTGAGAAAACACAATACTGTACTTACCAGTAAGTATTTCCAGATGCATGGGATTGGGTGATCAGCATCATCTTACCTATACTAGGGTTACATTGTGCTAACTGACAGCAAAATACTTAAGATCTTATGACAATATCAAAATACAGGTACAATGTTTGAATGTGTGATGTTTTGTCTATATCCTCCATTTGTCTGGTCCTTACCTTGTTTTTCCATCCAAAGGAACATTTTGAAGCTTTTAAAGATCCCCAGGAATGAGAATGCATTTTATCCATTGAGCAAAATGTAATAGCTGTCAGTGTGTTGGATGTTCCAAATAAGGAACATCAGACTCATTAAACAACTGAACTGGAGCTAGTCCAGCCATTAAGAGGACTGGGGTGGTCACTTCAGGTAAAAGAGTACCAGGAGTGCAGATTCCAGATCACTGTAACTTTAGGAGAACCTTTGCATCTCTGGAGAACCACCATTGTTCCATGAAGTTCTTTAAAGGCAGTTATCCCCCAAATTCTTTAAATTAAAGGAGAAATTAAAGGTAAGTTAAAAGGTAGACTTCCTTCAAAGTGAAGATGGCCTATCTTGGAATTCTGCGTAGATGGCTTTATCTCTGGAATTGGCTAGATAGCTTGGGAAGTTTAGTACATGTCTGCAGAGTCAGACGTTGCAAGTTCATTTCTCCTTTGCGCCTTCCAGGAGAAGAGCCAGCCTGTGTAGGCTTGGGCAAGATGCAATCCCAGAGTCACCCACCCATCCCAGAAGATGGGAATGGTAAATCACTGCTGAGTTCTCATATCTAGAAAACCCCAGAAAGGGCCACCATAAATTGGAATCAGCTTCACTGGTCATAATTTTTACTATTGGTTCTACCTCCAATTTTCCCATTTCAGAGATAAATCAAAGCCCAGATTTGAACAACAGCACTAGAGATCTCTAACCTAGGTTTCTGTAGGAATGGAGTTACAGCACTTAAAAGCTGTCATAACTCTATAGTGAAGATAATACTCTAAGTAATTGTTAATGTGTTTGTGTGCCTTAACAGTCCTCAAAGTTTGTACATATTTTTGCTAAATGTATGTGAATCCTGCCACCCATCCAAGTCAGCAATTGGGAGGGGGGCTATTTATTCATTTACTGCATTTCTATTCCAACCAACTAACCAGGGTTCTATGGACTGTGTACATTGCACAACAATGAATTAATGATTAGAATCCGCAGGGTTTAAATTCCCTTGGATTCAGTGGCACTTACTTCTATAGACATGTACACATGGTCAGATTGTAAACTTTGATGGCAAATTTGGAACACAAATTCTTCCACGTAGATACTACTTCCCTAGCATCGCCATTGCCAGCATATATGTAGAATAATTCATCCCAAACTTGAATGAATGAAAGGAAAGGAGATGAGACAGATGTTTGATGGCACCCAGTCTGTAAAATGCAGGCGTCTTCTGATGACAAATAACCTCCCTGAGCAGCTCTGTTTAGCATGAAGGGCATATTTATCATGGTTGAAATCTTTGCCTCTGTGCTCAGGTGTTTTGCTTTTCTTGGCTAATATACTGTGATGTGGTGGTAGACTCAATCAATAAAGCAGGCTTGTCCAACCTTGGCCCTCCAGATGTTCTTGGACTTCAACTCCCAGAAATCCTGGCTAGCAGAGGTGGTGCTGAAGGCTTCTGGGAGCTGAAGACCAAGAACATCTGGAGGGCCAAGGTTGGACAAGCCTGCAATAAAGCATGATATAATTGGCAATATAATCAATACCTGTATATCACACAGAAGCCAGTGTCAGATAAGAGTGTCAAAATAGAACCCAAGAGACCTAGGTTTAAATTCCCACATAGCCATGGAAACCCAATCCAGGCAATAAGGGTAAACTACTCATTGAACACCTCAAGCAAATTCAAAGTCCCTGTTAGCGTTGCCATTAGTCAACTTGTTAGTCAACAGTGATAACAACGAAGCCGCCTATACTGCTGGATTAGACTCAGAATACTATTTTCAGTGATGGCTTGATGACAGCTAGCATATGAATGGCAAAAAGAACAGCCTGGTTTGCAAATACATCTACTGACATGCCCACTCACTATCACATCCCACACGTGTGAAAATTGTGTTCATGCTGATTTCTTGTTTGGTCTCTCAACAGGTTCAGATGGGGTACAAGAATCTCAGCACTAATACTTTGGAATCATGTATTGCTTCTGCTTGCATTTTATCTCTCTCTCTCTGTCACACAAGTGACGAGTACAGAGTAGATTTTTACTGTAAGCTGCTGATAGTTTAGTTGTCTAGTTTTAGAACCTGTTGAGTCAACATGTTAGCTTATTTCCCATGGCTTGACTCTTTTTGGTCCCATGGAGTTTTGTCTTCTTGTGCTTGGTCAGCTGTCCATTGAATAGTTGGTTTTTCTTCTTTTCTTCCATGTGAATGTCATGGGTCAAAACTGTCACGTGATTGTCGTTTTGTCCCCCTTTTTGTGACGTAGGGGTGCCTCTGTGCTCAAGCAGCAGAATCCCTCTCCTTGGTGCTTTAATCTTCTCCAACTCTTTCTTCCAGATATTTGGACAACCCTCATTTACTCCACAACTATTTACACAAGAGGAGCAGGTACTGTCCTTGATCTGACATTCTTCTACTGCCTCTTACAGACACATGTGAATCTACCTTATATACACGATCAGATCTTTGTCTATCTCCCTATTGTCTCAATTGACTGACAGTAGCTCTCCTGGGGTTTCACCCAAGTATCTTTCTTGGCCTTATCTAGAGAGATCAGGAATTAATCCTGGGACTTTCTACACACAAAGTATGGGCTTTTCCACTGAGTTGTGCCCCTGGTCAAGCACTTAAAACCATTCACTAGTTACTTAACTCTTAAACACAGTATTGTTCTCTAATGGATCATAGCCCAAAATAGCTGAGCCTTAGTTACCTATTGGGAAGAAGAGTTGTGGTAAGCTGATTTAATTAGCAATGACACCATTGCTCTGGGTATTATGCCAAGGGATTTTAATAATGCTTGACATTCCTTATTTTCTTTCAGTGGTGCAACAAAGCCCAGGGAGAATCTGTGATGTAGCTTTCTCGAAGTCAGTAGACTTAGATGATAATTTGAATTTTAAAGACTCCCTCAACTGCATGTGAAGGTCCAGATGCCAGGAATATGACAAATAACTAAAGGGGAGGTTAAGAAAACAGCCCTTTATTGCGCCAGTTTAAATTGCTGTTACTTCTTATTAATCAATTTCCTACAAGGATTTAAAATATAGCTATAAATATATTCGCAAAGGCTATAAGATTAATAATACACCATCTTTAATAATCAAGACCACTATTTTGGGTGATATACACCGGGCATCAGTCACTGGCTTTGGCTAACATGATACCATGCAGAGTTTGAAGAAGTTACTTCCTTTGGAATACTATTCTCATTGCTCTGACCATGTTGCCTGGAGGATTCTGACAAATGTCGTCTAAAGAAGTAAAGTTTTGAGATTTCACTTGCAAGAGATTGGACAAATGTGAGGCAGGATCAGCTGGAATAAAAAATTTTTTAAATGGAGCCCTTATCTTAGATGTCACACAGCTTCATCTGAGAGCAATCTTTTAGGCTAGGATTTGGTGCCAATAGTAGAGGTTTTAGTGAAATGAATAGAATTCATTCTTCCTGGTTGCAAACATCAGCCAGGATCTGAAGATCAGTTTTTCACAATGGAATCCATTAACTGGAAATGTAAGAAGTTTGAGCATCATAAATGTATTTCATTTACTGTAGGTTTCTTTCTCCATGGGCTAGCCTCAGGCAATTGCAACATGCTCATTCAAGAAGATGCCAAGGGGGCATCCTTAGAGGATCTCCAACTGCTATATATCATTGGTGAAATAAATTCACAACATTCTTCCCAGCTGATGACCCATCAAGCTGAATGCAATCTAACAGTAATGTATGGTGCACACCCAAGGCCTTGGTGAACTTCCAGGGCCTGCTCTTGCATACCTGTGTTACAAAACAAAGCCTGTTGTCAAGCACCTTACCTGCCAAAATGCCTGTAAGGTGGCTTGTGCAGCTTTCTGGGCCACATGTTCTGCAGTTCTTGTTGTCAAGTAAGGAATACTTTATCTGTATCAAAAGCCAACCGTGAGATTATGCACGGCAAGAATGGGAAACACAGGTTGTTGGATTGCAGCTCTAATCAGCCAATACCAGCATAGCCATTGATGAGAGATGATGGGAACTGCAGTCCAAAGACAGCTGGAAGATCACATATTTGCTTCTCTGGTAAAAGAGAAGAACGGTTGACCAACATGTAACTTAATAAACTGACAAACATAATCAGTGTATCCAAACTGGTCCATAAGATTTTGGGGAAGAGAAGGCCTCTTTGATCAGAGAATGACCAAGTGTGTTCTTGCAGGCAAGAGAAGCGGAGCTGAATGACCAATATGAGGGGATGTGTGAATCAACCTACAGTGAAGCAGAATCCACTGCTGTGGAAGTCTTGGATCTGCCTCTTCCAAGTTACTTTCGTTCCCGGAGCCACAGCTACCTCCGAGCCATCCAAGCAGGCTGCTCCCAAGAAGAGGATACTCTCTCTGTTCAATCTCTCTCTCCGCCCCCAGCCAGCAGCCTCAGTGGCAGTCGGACACTTCCCAGCAACAGCAGTAAGTCACGCTATTTGAAGCTGGGCAGAGGGGTGGAGCAATCAGAGAAAGGTGGGAGTACTGAGGCCTTTTGTGGGAAGAGTGTGTTAAACAATAGAAATACAAGAGAAGTGCCCCAGTCATTGTTGGTTCAGAGAGGTCATAAGTGAAAGCTAGTTCATAAATGGCATTGCGTTTACGTATGTTCCACATTCACATTTGAATTTGGTTTGAGTTGTGATACTTAGAAGTATCTCTCTACCTGTTTTATATCATGTCTCTATAGCCACACAACAGTAGATGCCATGATTCATAAAACTTACAGATTATGATCTAATCAAAATATGTTATAGTATATAGTACTGACTGACAGTGACTTGTAAGTACCATCAAAAATAGTGGTAGTTATTTATGAGTAAGCATTCATTAGAACTGGTCTTCACCACTGCATCTCTAAAAAAATTACAAGGATTTTTGGGGTACATCAACAATAGGCATGTGAGCTGGCATCCATTGTCCCATTTATCTAGTCTCCGCCATGCCCAATTTACGACCATGCTGGTGAATATCAGTAGCTGAGCCATATAAATTAATATATGGATATAGCTCTGCTGAAAATAGGATTCCTGGTCTGTACTTGAAGTATATTTATTATCCAGGCTTTTAATACTGAGATTTAGTCATCAGGAGTTATCAGTATCTTCTTTCTTAATCTTTCATACAATCAAGGGCTAGTTTCCTAGATATTAAGTTGTAAGAAAAAATATATAGAAAATGATCTAGCTAATAATTGTTCTAAGAAGGATTACCCACAATTTCTTTGCTGATAAGGTTTTGTCATGCATCTAGGCTAGCACTGGCCTGTGTCCTTAAATGTTCAGCAAACAGCTGGCCAAATGTAAATCACTGCCAAGATGTCTCTCTTTTTCCCCCAATAATCCGCTTACTCATGGCAAAAGATTCTTTGCTTTTTTTTCTTCCACAGATGGAGTGGAACTAGACAGCAAGCTAGGAGCCCAGTCCAGGTTTCATTTTGTCTCCCCAGATGTCATTAGGACTGTTTTTCCATTGACATCATTTGGGGCAGCAACCCCAAGTGACTGCTAGAACAGTTCCACCCATACCCCGCCCAAGATGTCCAGGGAAAAGATTGTGCTATGATGTCTTAGTGAGTGGAGCTATTCAGCACAGTATTTGGGCTCCTGCTAATTTTCTCCCTTCCTCAATAGATGCCTCAGTTCACTTAATGGTAGGATGGTGCCCGCTGAAACTCAAGCACATGTTTAGCCCTATATATACTTTGATGTTTCTAGATGTTCCTGAATAAGCAGAGCAGACAGACTGACCTGAAAATTTTTCCTCCCTCACATGGGGATATTACCCTTGCTCCTGTGAACCCACCAGCATGACAACTACATTAAAACGGCAGAGTGTGTAATTTATGGTGTTGTGTGCATTGCTAAGTAAGCTGCTCAGGATGCAATCAGCACAGGATTTGTGGCTTTTCGAGATTTATGGATTGTCTCTTGAAAAATAAATTGCACTTGGCAATGGGGTAGGAAATCTGTTTCTGTTCAGAGACTGTTCTACTCTTTCCTGGGAAATAGTTTAGATTTTTCACTGGTTGATACATCATTCCCTTGTGCCCCCAATAGCTAGACAAACAATCATGGCATTTATTAATTATTAGTTGGACCATGCTAATGTGCTGGTAGGTTGCACTACAATTACACTTGCAGTGTATTTGTGCAATCTACCAGCACATGGATAGCTTTTTATTTAAAATATGAGATTTCTAGCTTTTCCAGACAGCATCTCTTACCTTGAAGAGCTGCATTATAAGCAGCCGTTCAATTGGTATAAATATGGTGGAGTTATTCCTGCTAACAATGATGTTTGTTTCCTTAAAAGCTTTGCGTTGCCAAATGAATATCAAAACAACTTTGAGTCTTACAAAAAAAATTAAAAGCTGTATGCTCTTTGTACCCAACCTGAAAACAAGAGTAAGTTTATGTCTTTATTAGACCACTAAAATCTCACATGCAGGTGCTAGGTTTCAGCTGCTGCAGGGATCTTCATCATGCAGGGTATTAAACAGCTGCAGGTACAGAAGAAAAAGAAAATTCCCCCACATCATGGCCAGATGTAGCAGTAAGGCTTTTTTGTTTAAACCAAGTTCAAAAATGGAAGTTATGGGCTGGCACATTTCAGGTTTCCTCCCACAGGATGCAGATTGCAGTATCCTTCCCAATCTTGATAGCTCTTCGTCTTGAAAGCTGTCATCTGTTTGTGAGATTTTAGTGACCTAATAAAGGTATCACTCACCCTTATTTTCAAATACTGTGTCTGCTACCCCACTATTCCCTTTGCTTATTGACTCTCCTGTCTAATAGAAAGAACTCTGGCTTTTGCATACAGCAGGCAGAAGAACGGGCCACAGAGCTAATTGTTCCATTAAGAAGAGTGAGGCAGTCAGTTAAGACAGAAGATTTTGCATGTAATGAAAGGGTAGTAGTAAACTGTTGGTTATTTATCATTAGGAAGAAATTGTGTCAGTAGGATTTTCTGCCACATGGCAAAGTAATGTGGCTGGCTTGGAGTATTGTGTGCCTCAGCTTGCTGAGATAGAGCATTTCATGCTAAGCCTTTCTGTAGCTTAAATGTCCAGCGCCTGACAGCAGAGGGGAAGTGAAGGAACAGCACTTGACAACAGTCTCCTGTAACATCCCAACCACTGACTCTTTTACCAGCTGACAAATTTTAGATTTTCAATGGCAAACAAGAGTAGATTCCATCAAAGTTTGTCCTGTCTGAAGTGAAATTTTGTCCGCCCCCCATGACTATGACTTTTGTTGGTGGTTGTATTCTAATTAGTTTATTTGCATCCTCTCCTTCATTTTCCTCTCTTTTGGTTTAGTGAGGGTATGGGGATCCTTTGGACCTCCAGATTCTTTGGACTACAAATACCATAATCTGTTACTATCAGCCAGGCTGCATGGATCTGATAAAACTCTTGGCCAAAATATTTGAGGGACAAATGTTCAGCATCTTCCTTACGAGGACTGTACCCTCTGTTTGTTGAAGACTAAACTGTCTGTGTGCATGTTTTCAAAAGGCAAAATTTGGCAGTGATCATATACTTGATAAGCTACTTAGCCTTCCAGTTCTTAAATAAAAGTTTGGGTTGCACGGTATCTGAGAATTATTGCAGATCAGACAATCAAAAAGACAGATGAAATGCCTTAAAACAAAATACCTGCACGTTGTAAAGTTCAGCATTGAGGAAGTAGGGTACAGCTAGCCATGGCACCTACTCATCTAATTGTCCAAAAGTCTCCCAACAGCTGCTTTGGACTCCCAACTGTAATAAAGAAATCTCAATGTGCTTTTCCTGAATGCCATTAGTGTATGGGTGTGGAAGACTAATACAGTACAGTACTTGAGAGTTTTGTTGTTGTTGTTGTTTTGTTTTAAGAATAAAGAAATCACTGTGCTGGGTTTCAAAGGGTCCTAGCAAATTGGCTTAGCAGCAGGTCAAAAAAAATGGATTAATAGAGTGACAGACTAAGACTCTGGGGAACAAAGTTCAAATCCGTGCTCAGCCATGGAAATTGACTAGGGGAGTGGAACTGGTAAAACCACTTCTTAAATATTTCACTTAGCTTGAAAACCCTGTTAGGATTGCTTTAAATTGGTTCCAACTTGACAGCACGCAAGAACAAAGCTAGGTGCCTTCTCTAGTTTAGTGTCTGGGCTGAGCTAATCTATATGCCTGTTGTCAGTATCCACTAAAAGAATGTGTGTGTTTGAGAGTATCTGTATAAAAAAGAAAACCCTTAATGCAGTTCCTTTCAATCTAAACAAGCTACAATGATTATCTTAAATCAGAAAAAAAGAAGTGCTGTCTTGATCCATAGGAATAAAACAAAACCTCAGGTCCACAAGGTGGACAATACCTTTATTAAGAACAACTATGAATTCACAAGGTATGTAAGTATTTGAATTCTGCAGAATGTGTCATCAGGAAGCTTTTGGCTCAGTCATTAAAATGCAGTACTGTAGCCAAGACCCTGCTCATGACCTGAGTTCAATTCCCAGCTAGCCAGCTCAAGGTTTACTCACCCTTCCATCCTTCTGGGGTCAGTTAATTGAGTACCCAGATCACTGGTTGGGTGAGTAATATGTAGCCTGCATGATTAAATTGTAAAAGCCCAAGGAGCATTTTGAGCACTATGGGCAGGTATATAAGCAGCACACTTTGTTTTGCTTTAGGTGGTAAAAAAGAAAGGAAATTTAGAGGTAAGCACAGATGTTCAACAACAAATCTTTAGCTAAATATTTGTACCATGCAAGTCTATGATTATAGTTGGTCTCAAGATGGTGACTGTTGACTTGATGATTTGACTGTTGATTGAGCAAGTCCTGCAGGTGTCACAGGATCTCTGGCAAAGGCCATTGGTGAGAAGAGAAGGAGTGAAATTCTGTTGTGCAGTTACACATGCAAATGGGCGTAAGCAAAAAAAAATCTCCATAAACATTATCTGTTAAGTGACTCGGCATGCAACTAATATTATCTACAGTGATTTCTTCTGAATTCATGTCTTAAAAAAATACACCATTTGCATGACTGCACAATGGGATTTCTTCCATCGGGGGGGGGGATCTTCTTGGGAGACACAAAGACAGCAGGCAACAAGTCAGACATCTGTGCCTGGTCTTAAATGAATGACAAGTTTCTTAGGCAGCATTCAGCAGAAATACAAGAACTGATTTATTTATTTTTGGCATGAAATCTACAGAGGCATAATCCTGCTGGTTTGTGGGAAGTGATCTTACTTTTTGGGCAGGTGGTGCCCAGCCAGATCCTGTTGTGTCCACATTGCCCTAAGCTCACAGATATAACAGACCCTGCTGCTGAAGATATCTTTTTGAAAACATTTTTGTCCCAGCTATTTCAGTTTGTTCTTGTTTTTTAAGGGGGGGGAAGTATAGCGTGCACCTAAGTCCCCACTTTTACAACT